AAAGAAAGAAACAAAGTTTACGTCTCCTTCAGCGATACTTCCTCAAGCGCCTGTGTCTGGCACTCGGGCTTGGGCTACATGGCAGGCACTGGCAGCGCCCCTTACCTTCATGCCTTCCTCCTTCCCACTCTCGATTAACTCATCGATTCTTTTCCTTTCTTCGGACTGTGTGGGGAGGGAAGAAAAGACCAGCATCAGTGTTCATGCCTGGTCACCCCACAGGGCCGCAGGCCGGAGAAGCCAGAGCCCCAAGCGCCCTCCTTTTCCACTTAGCCACCTGTTTTAGGGACCAGTCACTTGGGCCTGGAGGACATGGTGGGGACTCCGCAGTGTGGATGCTAAGCGTCCTCCGAAAGTGCATGCAGTGAAGGTAGTGCTGCTGCGATGGAGGGGAGCCCAGCCCCTTCCTGGCCATGTGTTTCTGCTGCCATGTGGCACCTCAGCCTCAGCGACGGGGGCACCTGACCATGGAATGCGCCTCTAAACCTGAGACAGAAGCAACCTCTTCGCTGGGCATGGTGCGCATGCCTGGGAGGCCAAGGCAGGAGGGTCACAGGTTAGAGCCCAGCACTATCAACTTAGTGACTCAGTGAGACCTTGTCTCAAAAGTCCCCTCCTACTCCCTTTAGATGGGACGCGAGTCCCTTCCCTCCCAGCTACTTGCTCCCTGCACCTTTCAGGGTCTCTGAGCTGCATCTCTGCAGAAGCCACACTGTGGAGAAGCAGCGCCCTGCCAGAGTGTCCTCCCCGACCCCTCCCGTGGGACCACCTCTCCCATACTCTCCCTGGTCCCACTGCTCTCTCGGTGGGCAGGACACAGAAGCAAAGGTGTCCGACAGCAAGCAGGACAAGGGGCCCTGAACCAGTATGTGCCAGACCCCATGATGCTGCTGTGGACACTGCAGCAGGCTGCGATCCAGAGCTTCTCAGGCAGCCTCACCTCCCAGCTTCCGCCCTGAGCCCCACTCCTCACCAGCAGCCAGAGGGATCTGATCATGTCACCCGTCACCCGTATGTTTACTTCACAGTGAATACCAGAGTGGGTTCCTTGGTTGTGACACCAAGAGAGTCCATGGGAACTCTCTGTACTATCTGCAACTTCTCTAACAAATCTAAAATTATTGCAAAATTGAAATTTACTTAAGCCAGGCACTCTGGGAGCCTAAGGCAGGAGGGTCATAAATTCAAGCTTCATCTGGACAACTTAGCAAGACTGTCTCAATACAGGAGTAGAAAGAGCCAGGGATTTAGCTCAGTGGTGCAGCTACATGCCTCAAAATCACAGTGTCCTGAGTTCAATACCCGGTACCAAACAAACAAACAAAAGGAGTGGAGATGTAGCGCAGTGTGAAGACCCGAGGGTTCATCCCTACTACTGTCACTTAAAGAAAAACAAAAGGCTTGCAATGGCTTCCCTGAAATGGGGAGAAAAATCCAGCCTGCCAGGTTTTGTAGGACCCAGACCCCACCGCGGGGCCTTTGCCTGTCCTTGTCCTCCCCAGCACATTTGCCTGGCTCACTTCCTCTTCCAGCAGAGCTATGCTCCAAAGCCACTTAGTCAGAGAAAGTCCCCTGACTCAAGCCCCACCACTGAACCACATTGCTCGGTCCTGAATTGGTAGAGTGTTGTCCCAGGTCATGTTGTTTTAATTTGCTGTCACACCCCACTGGAACATAAGCTCCCCGAGCACAGGGCCTGAGTGGGTGTCCTGTGGACTCGCCCAGCTAGAAGCAGGCCAGAGCGGCCGAGCAGCGTCTCCCCTGTGTGATGAATCATTAGCAACCACAGGGGAGGAGGAGGGCTGCGAGCTGTAGAGGAAGCCATGGCGGGCAGTCGGGGACTTTCCTGCCTGGTCCAGAGGGCAGGAGGGCCGGCCTTGGTGCCTGGATGCATAGCCAGCATCACCAGCTCCTTCTGGATGCTGCAAGTTTGAGGGCAGCCGACAGCCATGGCGGGCGCCGTGGGTGTGCTAAGAATTCTGGCAGCAGCCTCTGGGCAGATGGCATAGGAGAGGCGAGGCCTGGCGGGGGTTGTGGAGCGAGGAGGCCTTGGGAGTGGATGGGATGGGGGCTATGGCTCCCACGGCCCCTTGTGGTCAGCGGACGCCCCACCAGGTGGGCCCTGGGTAGGGCGGGCATGAGGAAGCAGCTCCCAGCCACAGCACTGTGTCCAGGGCCGGACAGTGTCACTAGGCCCATCTGTTTGTATTTATTTATTCACCTTGGCCTGAGACAGGATCTTGCTATGTAGTCCAGGCTGGCCTTGAACCTGTGCACAGCACAGGCTGGCCTCAGACTGTGAGTGTGGTCAGGAGGGACCTCCTGTATGTGGATCCCGAGACCAGATCCTGCTCCCGGCCCAGCCTAGACCCTGCCCTGCCCAGTCCGCTTCTCATTTCAGTCTCACTCCTGCCCAGCCTCTCTGTGCCTTACCCACCTGGACCCCAGCCTGGGCCGAGTTCCTGCTGGCCTAGGGGGCAGTGGAGTCAGGGCCAAGGCCCAGCTGCCTCACCCTGTGCAGCCAGAAGAATCCACGCCTTGCCAGCGCCAGCCACATCATCTTGGCCTGTAGGTGATGGCCTTGCCACCCTGGCCAGCGCTAGGCTCACTGCCAACAGTGAGGGGCACAGTGTGGCTCCTGCTTGAGGCTGGCAGCCCAGGCTTTAGGGACACAGGCTTGTACACCGTCGCCCTCCTGCTCCTCTGCTCCATAGAGGTCATGCCTGTGACACATCCTGCTGTGGACTTCTCTACTGGCACCGCCTCCTACTCTGCAGTACTGCCTGGGGTGACCTCACGCAGCCTCCTGCTGCCACTGCTGGCGGCGTTTTCTAACAGCTCCTGCTTGGCCGAAAGACGCTGCCTTTCTCTGGAAACAGAGCCAAGGCTGCTCTCCGCAGGGAGAGAAATGGAGCCTCTCTCCTTTTTAAATAAAGCCCCATCAAGTCAAAGAAAAAGAACACACTGGATCTCTGTACTTAATCTGCAGCTTTAACACAGACAGAGGAGAGATTCAAACTGCCCAGGCCTGGGTCCCTGCCTCTGTGGGGAGAGGAGGGGATGCTGAGCATCAGGGAGGAGACAGGCGAGGAAGGGCGAGGGGGGCTGTGTGAGATCACACCTGCCACACCAGCCCAGAGTGCCAGAAGAGAGGCCTTGGCCACGCCCTGCGGCATCAAATACTCAGCTCAGCCCTCTGCTCTGGCTTCTGGCTTGGGTTTCCTTCGGTTCTGCAGGTTCCCAGGTGGGAGGAAAGGGTGTGGGCAACAGCCACAGCTCCCTGGCTGCTGTGTGCCAGGCTCGGGCCTGTGTGCCCACAAGCACAATCCCATTTGGTTATCCCTCACAACAGCCTGGCCCAGTTTCCAGTGGGGGACAGCAGAGTGTCAGGGACCAGCAGAGGTTCCTGCCACTGCTCTCCCCCAACCCTGCGCCCCGATGCAGAAACCTCATGACCACAGGAAGGGCAAAGGCTGCCCCAGCCACCGAGTCCTAGGAAAGCCACCCTCCTGACGGCACCTGGCCTTCTGCGCCGTGGGCTACAGACCACGCTGCTCCTTCACGGGGCGTCCTAGCCAAGTCCTGGTGATCTCACCAGGACAATGGGGTGAGCAGGAGGCAGTGGCACACACCTGTAATCCCAGCACCCAGAAGGATTGAGAGTTTGACTGCAGCATGGACAACTTAGCGAGACGCTACCTCAAAATGTCCAAAGGGGTAGGGAGGGCCGGGGATTTAGCTCAGAGGTGCTGCCACCTGTCTCCCAAGTGCAAGGTCCCAAGTTTAATCCCCGGTACGGAGAAAAAAGGGCTAGGGATGTAGCCTAACATGAAGGCCCTCTTCGGTTCATTACCCCAGACACCTGCCTCAAGGCCCATCAGGGCCTGGGGCCCATCCCACCCCTCCAAGAGCTGAGCAGAAACCACGCAGCTCTACCTGCAACTCTGCTTTGCTCTTCCTGGAGCTCCTCCGGACCGGGTAGAAGTCCGTGAGTTTGCGATTCTGTTGTGTTTTCCCTTGAGTTCTGGGAATGAAAAAAAAAAAAAAAAAAAAAAAAAAAAAAAAAAAAAAAAAAAAAAAAAAAAAAAAAAAAAAAAAAAAAAAAAAAAAAAAAAAAAAAAAAAAAAAAAAAAAAAAAAAAAAAAAGAACAGGGATCAGGACCAAAGTCACATTCATATCCAGGAGGTACCCAGCTCCTTGGGGGAAGCTAGTGCAAAGGAAGCCACTTAAACATCTTTGTGCCCTGGTGGCACCTGCTTACCTGGCCACGGGGGCCAGAGAGACATTCAGAGAGGGCAGGGAGGGGCCTTGAACTCGGCCATCTGCCACGCTGAGATGCTGACAGACAATGGCAGTGGGGTGGCTGAGGATCTGCGCCTCTACCATGACAGAAGCAGTGAATGTGGCCCTTGGAACCTTGAGGAAGCTGGGGGGCTTCCGGGGCCCACAGAGCCACCTGTGGGCATGAGGAGCTGCACTCCTCCTATTCCCTTACTTTTTCCGAGGAGGCTGTTTGCCCTTGAGAGGCTTTTTCAGGGCTTGCTTGGCGATGGCTGCATTGGTAGAATCACAAGAGGAGGTTGGAGTTTTTGGAGGTTCTGCTGCTTCAGATTTTTGGTTTGGAAAAGGTGCCAGGGAACCTCTCCTGGCGTCTTTGAGCTTCTGTTCCTCAGACTTTACGGCGCTTCGTACCAAATTCCCAGCATTTCTTTTCTCTGCAGCACAGGGTGGGAGAAGAGGGGCTTATTCTCTATTCCACCGCTCAACTTCAAGACCATCGCCTGCGTTCTAAGGCTGAGAAGGGAAATCGTGGAAGTGCTAGGCCCAACACTGGGTATGTGGTGCTGGACATGAAATCAAGGCCACTCTGCCACTGGACTTTTTCCCACCCCTTTTTATTTATTTTTTGGGGGGTCTCACTATGTAGTTGAGACTGATCTGGAACTCACTGTGTAGCCCAGGCTAGTGTCGAACTCACAGCGACCCTCCCGCCTCAGCCTCCCGAGTGCTGGCATTACAGGCCAGGCATGTGCCACCATGCCTGGCTCCACCCCTTTTTATTTTTTGAGACAGGGCTTTGTTAATTTGCCCGGGCTAGGCTTGAACTTGCTACCCTCCTGCATCAGCCTCCCAAGATTATAGGCAGAATTATCACAGCAGGCCTCACTTTGATCCTTAACAAGACAAGCTCCCCTTCTAACAAAGATGAAGCTGATGCTCGCAGTGGTTCTCTGAATAGTACCAGCAGCCTGGCGGGTGCTTTGTGACACCATTACAAACGGTCTGACTGATAACAGTCTGGGGCAGCAGTGCTGGGAACTATTTGCTTTTTCCTTTTTTTTTTTGGTACCGGGGATTGAACTCGGGTCCTTGTGCTTGCAAGGCAGGCCACCGAACTGCTGAGCTAAATCCCCGGCCCTCTCCTTTTTTTTAATGATTTACTTTTTAAAATACATAAATAACACACTACTGATAGGAATGTAAAATGGTCTGGCCACTTTGGAAAAGTTTGGCAGCTCTTCAGAAACTTCAAAAATACAAGATTCCCGTTTGACCCAGCAATTCCACTCTCAAGCATCTGCTCAAGAGAATTAAAAACACGTGTTTGAAAAAAACCTGCACAGCAATATAGTGGCTGATTCATAACAGCCAAAAAGTACAAATAGCCCCAATGCCCACTGACGTGTGAATGGTTAAATAAAAAACATGGGGTATCCACACAAGGGAACATGATTCAGCCACCAAAAGGCACATGCCACTCACTGAAACACACTGCGTGGTGTGCTAAGTGCAAGAAGCCAGACACAAAAACTGTGTTGTGTGATCCATCCCTAAGAAATGTTCCCAATAGGCAAAGCCACGGAGAAAGCAGTTTAACGGCTGTTGGGGCTGTGAGGGACAGGGACAGGGAAAGTGATTCCTAATGGACCTTGATTTATGATTTATAGCTCAATAAACAACAAAGATAATACATCAAAACCATCCAGATTGTCTTCCTCCTCTTTTGAGTTTTTAGGTGGACTGGGGAAATTGAGGCCAGGGTGGCAGGTGTAACCCAGAACACTGCCAGCAAGGTCAGCCTGTACCACAGCACAAACAGGCCCTCCAAAGTACATCTGACTCCAAATTCTCTTTTTTTGAGACAAGGTCTCACTGTGTAGTTAAGGCTGGCCTTGGACTATGTAGTCCAGACTGGCCTTGATCTCAGAGAGATCCTCCTGACTCAGCCTCCCGAATGCTGAGATTACAGGTGTGCACCACCATGCCCTGCCCAGCACCAAATTCTAACTACTGCCATTTAGTGAGATGGTGAGCTAAATAAGCTAGATTGTGTAACCTATTATCTCTGAGGACAATTTACATTCTTCCCCATTCCAAAATAAAGCACAGCTGGCCATCCATCACTACAGAGCAAGCCCTTTCCCCACACCTGGGTGGCAGGTACAGGGTTAACCTAGGCCATGGCACTGGCACCTGGTGTCCCCCGTTACAATGCCTTTCTGGGTCCTTCCTGTAACCAATCCTCCAAAAAACCCTGGGGCTGGGGGAGGGCTCCTCTCTTCTGACAGATGAAACAACTAAGACTCCCAAAAGAGCAGCAACCTGCCTCAGCCTCCTTCTTCCAAGTGGCAAAATTAAGACTATGGCCTCATTCTGAGACCAACAAATAGCATCGCCCTGTCCCCTGCGGGGAATCATGCTGAGGGTGGCTCCTGCCCTAGGACAGGGCATCCCCACCCCTGCATCTGAGATCTGAGCCCACAGGTCAGGCTACAGCTGCCTGTGACACTTGCCCCAGTGAAGACAAGGTTTCCTCCTACAGGAGCTGCAGGGGGCCAAAGGTTCTGCCCCTCAGGCAGGTTTTATTTAGACAAAAGCATGGGAAACTAGGGGAGCTTTGAAAGGGAATATTTGGATGGGAACAAGATTCCTGCAGTGCTCCATTTATCTGCAGGGCCAGAGACAATTTTCCACAAACATGTATTTTGTGGCTCAGTTTTTTTTTAGGGGGGCAGTGGCTATATGAGAGATAATACCAGGGTCTCCCGCATGGTGGGCAAGTGTGCCCCTTTGGTGGGCAACGCTGAGTGTGCCAGTGGAAAGAAACTTTAGAAACAGAGCCAAGGCCCCCAATAAAAGGGAAAGAATAGGTTCCCTGCGTTTATATCATCACACTGCAGTTGCCTGGGCTGTGTGCACTTTCAGCATTTAAAAGCCTCACCAGTTGCAGGGCAGATGCATCAGTTTTGCAATGTGGCAAAGACAATCCTGAAGGACACTCTAACCCTATGACAGCAGGGAGAATGTTGACGCAACAGGGGACACGCCCTGAGATGGGCTACTCTTCTGCCTCTTTTGCTTTCTTAGCAACACAGCTCAAACCTCTCAAACTTGATGAAAATATATATGCGTTCTTTTGGAAGAGAGGGGCTCCTGCAACCTGACCGGGGTGGAGGGGGTGACATGGAAGGGGCCATGTCAGAGGCTTACCTTCTCGTTTCCTGTAGATCCCGGCTAATGGTTTCCCCTGGCATTTGACTTCATGATGTGCAACTGAGTTCTCTTCCTGAAGGGGGGAACGCATTCCAGAACATTTGTTTGGGCTCATGTAGGAATAGATCTTTGACTGCCCGGCGAACACATTCTCCTAAAAAGACAAAGGCATATTCTGAAAGAGGCTTGAAAAAGAAGATCTGGAGCATTTAAAGGGAAATGGGGAAATGAGATATAAACCACAAAATATAGACAACAGCGACATCATACTCTCAAAGGCGAGGCCAGCAGAGGATGCCAGCCCCAGTTCTCAGGGGAGCAAAGTTTAGGATTCCCCCAGGTCCAAGTCAAGCATCTCTTACTCCTGTGAGCTCTAATTTTTGTCACCGAGGGGCCGTGTGGCCAACAGGAGAACCATTTGTGCCCACCTATCTGTGACCTGCCAGCAGGGAGGGAAGTTGGAATGACCCAGGGAAAGCTGGGGATCCAAAGGGCTGACTGGGCCAGGCTGAGTTAATTCCCCTGGCGGCCGGGAGCACCTCCGGCACAGAAACAGGCCTGTGGGGATCTGATGAACCCCTGGGTCCCAAGGTCAGCTGGAAGGGCTTAGCAGAACTGAGCCCTCCCAGAGCACCAAGCCCAGCTGCCACCCAGGACGAGGTCGGAGGACTGTTCTCAGGGTGACAGGGAGTGTCCTGAGAACAGAGGCCAGGGCGGCCACTCTCCTGCAAACCACACCTTGCCTTCATTATCAGGGGACAGCCATGGGCAGTACAGGTCACTGCTGATGGCTGTGGGTGTGGGATCTGTCCCTGAGGGAGCAAGCACAGGCCACCTCATCGGAGAAAAGCTTCCCAGAAACACTGCAGGACCCTGCTGCCAGGAGAGCCATGAGACACCAAGTCAGCGACCCGGTGACCTCGCCTAGCGACCTAACAGGCCCCAACACTCGGGGAAGCAGCCACCTCCGGGGATGCTGGGTCTCCGGAGCGCAAACGCCATCAAGGCACAGCGAAACTTTTCTGAGGTCAAACACTGCCTGCCAGGGGCCTGGCGGAGTCAGTGTGGCCGCCTCTCCCAGCCAGGCAACGGAAAAGGAAGCAGCCGGGCCGGCCGGGCGCCCCGGG